TCTTGGATAGCTTTCAAGATTGGCGAAATCAATCGGCAATGATCAAGGAACGTATGGATTAATATACAAGATTGACGGAATATATCAGAAGACATCAAGGAAAAGAGACGCGATTAAAGGAAGAAGAAATCAATCAGAAGATACTGACGGGATCAAGAGACGCGATCAAAGGAAAAAGAAATCAATTAGAAGATACTGACGAGATCAATCAACGCTAAACTAAAGGAATCAAATAAATCAAGATCTCGCTGAATATTCAATTAAGTGTCTAAATATGGAGGATCAAGATTCCGGGTTCAAAAGAGCTGTTGCAGAACAGCTTTATTCTTGGAAAGAATCAATCTCTTTTCAAGGATCAAATCTCTTGAGTTGGCAAATCTTTCCAGAATTTAAGCCTCTCTCAAAATATTTAAATTTGTAATCACAACTTAGCAAATATACTTTGATCGAACCAAACACCCTCTCTTTGTTCTACTGCGTACAAACATTGTAGCTCTCTAAGACCTACTGTGTAACAAGTTAGAAAAGAAAGAGAACAACACTGGTGATGCATCGTATCAAAAGAGACGAGTGATATAGGAACTAAGCTATCACATCATTCTCCTTGTACTCGAAGAAACGCATTTACTAAAGAGAACTCTCTTGCAACCCAAGGGGACTGGACTAGGATTCTGGTGTCTTTAATTAATTCTTACATTTAATTGCAGCATCTTATATTCTGTTGTTACTACTGTTAGCTTATTACATCTAATCGACTAATTGAAAAACTAATCAACTAACAGCAATTAAATTTAAAAATAAATAATTCATCCCCTCTTGTACTTTCACTTTCTTCTCAAAATTTTTGTATCCCTAACTTCCTTCTCATCTTCTCTTGTGCTGCTGGAGCCAGGATGAGATTCATTAGCAACTGAAGTTTCTGGAACACATTGCCATTTTGGCACTTCTCGTTCGAAAGGTTCATGAAAAGTGTCGTACATAATACTACAGCTAAGGCACTATGGGAAAGGGGAGAGGAGAGAAAAAAGGAAAAGCGTGTAACTAAATCCCCTAATTTAAGGCATTAATAATAATCATATATGGAGAGAGATGGCAGAGAATAGGGAAAGAGGAGAGGAGAGAAAAAGGAAAAGGGTGTAACTAAATTCCCTAATTTAAGACACTAATAATTGATTGTATATAATTTGTAAGTAATCCTTGTGGATCTAGAATAATGCAGGCAGGGAGAGGTTGGGTGGTGGTGAAGATGATGGAAATAAGATGCGAGATTAGGATTCAACTTTATGAATTTTAAATTTTAAAACAATAAACTCTAAATGTTAATAACTGCATTATAAATTTAATATTTTTATATATCAAATAAATATTTTAACATAAATCTATTGTTTGAATAAAACCTGCTTAGTTAGATCAAATCCGTAGCTAGACTTTTAGCTCCATCCGTGAAAATGACTTGGTTGGCAATGAAAAATGATCTGTCTGCTATTTTCTGGCATAGGGTCCACCTTTGTGCTGTCACGGACGTAGACTTTTCAATTATGTAAGACGACTCGTGTTCCTCTTTCTCTCCAAGTCTTTTTAATACTACCTCTTCCTACATTGACTCTATCGTGTTTCTAATTAACAGTTCATTAACGATTCTTATCTATCTATTAAGAAACTCTTTCATGCATGGCTTTGAGCAGAAAGCAGTTCCTTTGATATAAAGTTCACTGTATTTTCCTGCTTCCAGTCTCCATTGCACAATTTTAAGGTAAAGATATCTAATTCACTGCTTTCTTTTATGAAGACTCATCTCTTGTTCATTCTTTTAGTTCTGTATTACTTTACATGATTTTGAATACTCTTTTTGTTAGCTTAGCTCTTCCCTTTTTATATTTAACTTGTTTTCTAATGACACAACGGACTGAAATTGTTCTCTGGACTTTCTCAAATTGCTATTGTGAGCAATGGTGTCTACAATTTTCATTGTGACGAAGAAAGACAGAGGGAGCACTTGTTAATGAGACCAATTCGATAGAGGAGTTCACAGTAGGGGGAAGAAGGCACGGGCTAATTAAGACACTCAATTTATGTGATATAGTTTGATTAGACGCGAAATTTAAAATTTTTGATCTTAAACATTTGTGTGGCAATACAAAAATTAACTTACATTGGTAGTTAAAAAAAAAAATTAGAAAGTTACATATAAGGTGTCAAATACTTTTAATGATATGAGATCCTTTAGAAAAATCATGTGACTTCGCCCAAAATAAACAATATCACGTTATGTTAAAGGTATCTTTAGGCTAGTTCAGCCCTATAATTGGTATGAGAGCCTATAGTTCGACGGGACGAGTATGGTGATGATAGAGTAATAGCGTGAGGCTGGATTACTTCCCATTACGAGCTTAGAGACGCACACAAATAAAAAAGCTAGTTGCAAGCTTCAATTGCCACAAATACTCTCACGATGCGGAGGGTAAACAATGAATCTTAAAAATTGACTTGTGGATTATGGTAGCGCCAACATGAAACTTAATTTGAGGGAAAGACATGCAAATCCTTGTGAATGCCCACGTGAAACTTAGGGCGTTTTGGTCTTTCATTAGGGATGTGTCTTCCAAAAATAGGTAGGGCATGCTATGCTAACCCGGAGGAGAAATTAAAAAATAATTAGATTTACAAATGGTCATTCAAAAATAGTCACAATTTCAAAAATAATCGAATTTTAGCCACTTTTCATGTAAAGATAAATCTAAACCAAAACATTATTCAAAATCCGGAAAATACTCCAGCATAATATACTGGAGTTCCAGCATAAGTATACTGGAACTCCAGTATATTATAATGGAGTTCCAGCATAAGTATACTGGAACTCCAGTATATTATAATGGAGTTCCAGCATAAGTATACTGGAACTCTAGCATATTACAATGGAGTTCCAGCATAAGTATACTAGACCTTCAACATAATATACTGGAGTTCCAGTATAATATGCTGGAAGTTCATACACAAATGCTCCAATCTCCAGTATATTGTGCTGGAACTTTCCGCGTGTTGGAGTTCCAGCATAATATGCGGGAAGTTCATACACAGGTACACCAATCTCCAGTATATTATGCTGGACCGGTCCTTGTTGCAGCAAAATAGTGACTATTTTTTATTGACTTTGTAAACTCTGACTATTTTTTATTAACTTTGTAAACTCTGACTATTTTTAAATAACCAGTCCGAAAATTGACTAACTCATACTCTTTGCCGTAGTGTGTTGACTGACTCTTTGCCCCATTATTAAAGCAGTCGGCAGCTGTTGTAAGTTCAATTCATATTCGGTGCGCGCGCGTTAATTTGACAAAAAAACATTAACAGCTTATTGACACCTCATTCTTTTATTTTAAATTAATAAGTGCATGATATATATTTTTACACAAATTTTTATCACTTAACTATCGATTAATATGCACTCAGTCGGTTCTAGTTTTTATGTCTTTTTTTTTTTTTTTTTTTTTTTTTTTTTTTTTTTTTTGTTTTAAATTCAGTTTAAAGATCGTCCTTCTATATTTTGTAAGTTCTTAACTTCAACATTTTTCATTTATCTTGATTTTCATTAAAATTTACAGCATTGCAGCTGGCGTACCGACATTCATGAGGTCGTTAGAAACCGTTCGTTCTTGATGTTCCCTGCATATGTTATGAGGTAAAGTAAACAAATGCTTTTACGTCTTTAACATTAGTTATACTTTGTTAGGCGGAACTAGCCTATTAGGTGCGTGTTTGATTGAATCCGATCACTTTTACTTAAACAATATATTTGCACTAGAAAATTTATTAAATATATATAAATATTTAATTGCTAGCCCAGTAATTAAGACGAGCTATTTTTTGCACAGAAGCCTATTTTTCAAAAGAGTGGGGTACTGAAAGCACAAATTTCCAATCATTGTGGGATTGAATATCTGAATCCGTGGACAGTCAGTTAGTGTTAAATCTGAAAAAATTAATAACAGTTGAAAAAAAAGGTAGTAAAACCATTACAGAATACAGCCAAAAATCCAGGTCCCTGAATAAAAAATTTGTAGGAATAAAAAAATGTACCCTCGTGTATACAGTTGTCCAACAACTTTCTTCCTCCGACTTCTTTAGCCACTTCCGCATCTGTCGTATTCGGGAAAGCTTGCTTCGTGGCGGAGCATTTAGCAATGCCAGCAACCCATAAATTTCTAGTCCGAACTCTGCCTCTGCTGGTTATTCCATTGCACAAAAATAGAGATATAAGTTTTACATTGTGTGGTGTGTAAAAATAGAGATATATGTTTCCTTAGTGATTCGTTTTTCAACATTTGGTTATCTCGAATTTTTTGGCCCCTTTCCTTTATTTTTCCTGAGTCGAGGGTCGGTCAGAAACAATTTCTCTGCCTTTTAAAGGTAGGGATAAGATATGTGTACACACTACCCTCCCCAATCCCACATGTGGAAATATACTGAGTTTGTTGTGGTTGGTTATCTGGATTTTTTCATCAAAAGAGGGAAAACGACTTTCATCACATGTGGGAAGAAGGTTTATTTAATCAAATCTAGTCTTAGTGCACCTCCACCGTTAAACAGTAGGTAATAAATCTTTTATACAGAGAAAACATTTCATGTTATTTCTTAGATGAAAAAGTAGGAAGATAAGATGTGCAGACATTTTAGATGAATTGCTGCACTTCTGAAATGCTACATTAGAAGTTTATTAGGGCTACTTGGTAGCTACTCCATCCAAATCTTAATTCATGCCTATAAATAAGGCTATATATGTCCTTCAAAGACGATCTCAGCAATTCCATAAACTCTCGGAATATGCACAATAAGATCTCCGAAATTTCATGAAACTCTTGGAATATTCATTAAAAATCAAAGATAAATCGGAGGGAAGAATCAAGGGATAAACAGAGTTGTAAACAACTCATGCATAAATTTGTTGCAAACAAATCTCATAATCACAAATTTACATGAATCTGTAATGCAAAACGTGTAAATTACTCATGATCCACAATTGAGTCTAATGCACATAGACGAAGAAGCAGTTCTGATGCATACTTTCCTGCCCAATCAAAGAACCATGTAGCAGCAGCAATTAAAAAGCATACAACCCATAGCTTCCAGTTCAGTCGCGAACTGTTGCTAAATATTGGTGCTACCTCAACAAATGCCACCTGCAAAATAAGAGAAAATCCAGCCGCTGTCCAAAACCAAAAATTATAACCAAGACCGTTAAAGACGTTCTTCTTCTCCGGCTCTCTGGCACAGAATATGTTGAGCAATTGGCAGAGAGCAAATGCATTGAATATTATGGAATTAATCTCTTGACCGCTGATGCCGTGGATGGCTTTTCCTTTGCATTGAAAGGCCACAAAGATGCCAACCTGATAAGTAACTTGAATTATTATGTTCCTCCACATTGCCTTTGTTATTAGTGGTTTACGTCGTCTAATTACTAACATTTCATCCTCCACTCCTGAGAGCAATGCTACACCTCCAGGAAATGTAACAAGAAAATGGAGCCAGACTAACTGAAGAGTTGTTAACGGAGCATCCCCCGTAAACATAACTGAGATCAAGTTTATTGACAAACTAGCAAAAGTCAGAATGAGCTCAATTTGGATAAGTTTCCTCATATTCCCACTAATAAATCTTCCAAACTTGATCATACCTATCAGGTAATCAAAACTCCAAGTATCTATATACAGGCCAAAGTCTGCCTTTTCGATTACCAAACCATCAGCTATGCATTCGCCAAGCACATGAACCACTTTGCCTTTTAGCTTCAAACACTTTACCAGAAGCAGCTTGTGAGTAAGGGAGGAATTTCCCATTATGCAGATTCTATCTACTTTCTCCATCCTTTCCTCATCAGTTAATTGATGAAAATCCTCACCTTTAACCACCAGAGTATCGTCGGAGTTAAGGTTATTAACCAACCCAGCTTCACGGACGACGTTTTTAAGTTCATCAACATCATCTTCTGAGACAAATATGATCTTCACTTCACCTTCTGTGAGAGTTTCAACAGCATCTTTGACAACTTCCTGATGATTCTCCTGTGCTAACCAACCAGTCTTTGCGGAACAAATGATAGTAACTGACGACTCTGTCTCGAGGAGCAATGCTATATTAACTTTGGAATAGTCCTTGTTTGATACTATCTTCCCTTTCCAATACGCAATTGCTATTGCTACAACGAGAGGTAATCCTTCCGTCATCCCCACCAGTGAAACACAAAGCAAGGTTGTCAATTTGGATTGATCTCTAACAAATTTTCTGATGGAATTTACTATCCGTCTAAATTCAACTGGTTCTTCCTTAGTTTCTGGTCTCTGTCCGTACTCATTATCTTTCTGCCCGAATTTAAAGCGCACGAACAAAACCACAAGGGTTAGAATATTGATGACAAGCCCAATAACATGAATCGTGGTGCGCAACTTCTCAAAACAAGCACCAAAACCGAAAGCTTTATGCGAAGTTTCAGCTATTGCTCTTCTCATTCTTTCAGTCCATTCTGCCTCATCGCCAACAGACGATGTCACTATCATCTTAGCATAACCCTTAATCACTTTGGAACCAATTAACAAAAATGGGTTCTTCTCACTGATAAACAACTTCACATCATCATCATCGTTATCTCCTACCTCTAACGCTTCCCCACAATTAGAAACAAATAACCCATTTGCAGGGATTAGGTTTCCTCTTCTTAAACATATTATATCACCATAAACAAGATCAGAGCATTGAACCGGACCCTCGATTCCTCCTCGAATAACATGGACCTCCTTTGTCTCCCTCAGTATCTTCTTTTTACGCTCCTCCATCTTCTTCAGTAATTTTTTTGTTTCCCAATACATCCACACCAACTTAAACTTTACCAGTCCGAGTACGGATAAAAGCAGAATCAAATTGTCGAACCAACACTTCTGTATCCCTTCTTCGAAAATTCCAAAGCCAAGAGAAAGTAATGCATTCAGTGCAAGCAAGAAAATCGTCCAGCCTTTGAGTGCTTCACGCAAGAAGTGGAAGAACATGAATACAGGAGGTACACAAGTTTGAGGAAACTTGATTGTTTCGTCGTGCAGACGCATATTTTTAGTGTCACTAGCAATTCCATTTTCCAGGTGACTATCCAATGCTTCTGCAACTCCAATGACTCCTCCGAAGTCATTAAGCTCATCCCAGTTCTTCTCTTCGACGATACGATTAATGTTATTCCTTTGAAGAACTTGCAGCTCAGCACAAGTTTCATCATCCAGAGGCTCATGTGCTGCATCATCAGTAGTTGGTCCGCTTTCTAAATCCTACAAGAACAACAGAAATAAGTGATCAACTACTTCACCGTTGCAGAAAAATAAGGAAAGAAAGAGTTTCAAATCTCCATGTTAAGTAGTGGTTATAAGTATTGGGGGTGTCGATGTATCTTTAAAAACAGGCTAAACCGACAGAACCGAGCCGTACCGAATATATTTTTATAAGATCGTAGGTGTTTATATATCTATAGCTATACCGATAATTAGAATAGGTTTTTAATTTCATAACTTTTATTGACGACAGTACTAGATATTGATATATTTACTTATTTAATACTAAAGAAAAAGATCAAAATGATAAGAAGTGATAGGGGTGGCGAATATGAATCTTCTTTTGAAGAAATATGTTTGGAATATGGCATTATTCACCGAACAACTGCCCCTTACTCACCGCAATCTAATGGAATTGCATAAAGAAAGAATAGAACGTTAAATGAGACGATGAATGCCTTGTTAATAAGTTCTGGTTTACCTCAGAACTTGTGGGAGAAGCTATTCTTACAACTAACTGAATACTCAATCGGGTTCCCCATAGCAAAACGCAATTCATTCAATATGAAAAATGGAAAGGAAGAAAACCCAACTTAAAATACTTTAAAGTGTGGGGGTGTTTGGATGAAGTACATGTCCCTAAACCCAAAAGGGTAAAAATTGGACCAAAAATAATTGATTGCGTTTTCATACGATATGCAACAAATAGTAAGGCATATCGTTTTCTGGTTCATAAATCAGAAAATCTTGATATTCATATTAATACGGTAATTGAATCAGATAATGCTGATTTTTTTTAGAATATTTATCCGTATAAAAAGGAATGTGAGTCATCTAAGTGAAAAATCTAAGCGACCTCGGGAAGAAGCAAAGGAAAATACTTTTAGTGAAGAAAATCCAAGACGTAGTAAACGTCAAAGAACAACTACTTCCTTTGGACCAGATTTTCTGGCATTCTTGTTGAAAAATGAGCCTCAAACGTTCAAAGAAGCAATGTCTTCCTCGGAAGCACAATATTGGAAAGAGACAGTCAATAATGAGATAGAATTCATATTAAGTAATCATACTTGGGAAATGGTTGATCATCCTCTAGGAAATAAACCTTTGGGTTCTAAATGGACTTTCAAAAGGAAAATAAAAGTCAATGGTACTACTGACAAATATAAGGCAAGATTAGTTGTTAAAGGGTTTAGACAATGAGAAGGTCGTGATTACTTTGACACATACTCGCCGGTAACGAGGATTACATCTATCCGGGTGTTAATAGCATTAGTCGTTGTGTATAGCCTTCAAATTCATCATATGGACGTGAATATAGCCTTCTTAAATGGAGATTTGGAGGAAAAAATTTATATGGAACAACCTGAAGGGTTCGTAGTTCCCGGAAAAGAAAAGAAGGTGTGTCAAATTGTTAAGTCACTTTACCGACTAAAACAAGTACCAAAATAATGGCATACGAGATTTGACCAAACAATGTTGTCAAATGGTTTCAAGATCAATGAGTGTGACAAATGTGTTTACAATAAGAATACTCCAAATCAAATAGTCAATATTTGTTTATATGTGGATGATATGTTGATAATGAGTAACGACATTGCCAACATAAATGCTACTAAGCGTATCCTTACTAGTAAGTCTAATATGAAAGACTTAGGATTGCCGATTTAATTTTGAAAATTAAGATCCTTAAGACTCCTAAAGGTCTAGCTTTTTCTCAATCTCATTATATTAAAATGGTACTTGAAAAGTTCAAATATTTGGAATTTAAAGTGGCAAGAACGCTAATTGATTTAAATCATACGCTTGTAAAGAATAAAGGTCAAACAACAACTTTTACACTGTGGGGTTTGGGGAGGGTAGTGTGTATACAGACCTTACCCCTACCTTGTGAGGATAGAAAGGTTGTTTCCAATAGACCCTCGGTTTAGGAAAGCATAGGCACCACATTAATAAAAATATAGACAAGAAGGGACATACCATAAATCCATATAAAAACAGAATAAAAACAACAAGACAACAAGGTGATCAACAATGAAAGAAAACAACGGTTAGGCATAAAAACCTACTACTAATAAAAAACGAGACTGTGTGTCAGTACTACTATTATGAACACTCTAGACTACCTACTCTACTACCCTAATCCTGGCCTCCATACCTTCATATCATAGGTCATGTCCTCGGTCAGCTGAAGTTGCGACATGTCTTGTCGAATCATCTCTCCCTACTTCTTCTTTGTCCTACCTCTACCTCTCTGTAGGCCCTACAATGTCACCTCTCTATACACCTCCTCCCCACATGACCAAACCACCTAAGCCTCTGCTACTGTTATGAACATTCTAGACTACCTACTCTACTACCATAATCCTCGACCTCCATACCTTCTTATCAAGGGTCATGTCCTCGGTCAGCTGAAGTTGTGTCATGTCTTGCCTAATCACCTCTCTCTACCTCTTCATTGGCCTACATCTACCTCTCTATAGGCCCTTCAATATCAACCTCTCATACCTCCTCACTGGGCCGTCTGTGCTCCTCCTTCTCACATGACCAAACCACCTAAGCCGCGTTTCCCGCATCTTGTCCTCAATAGGGGTCACACCCACATTGTCGCGAATAACCTCATTTATGATCCTATCTAACCTAGTGTACCCGCAAATCCATCTCAACATCCTCATCTCTGCTACCTTTATCTTCTGGACATGAGCGATCTTGACTGGCCAATACTCAGCCTCAAACAACATCATTCATCTAACCACCACTCTGTATAACTTACCCTTAAGTTTCGGCGGCACCTTCTTGTCACACAAAACACCGGAAGCGAGTCTCTATTTCATCCATCCTGTCCCAATACGATGTGTGACATCTTCATTAATCTCCCTATCCCCCTGAATAATAGATCCAAGGTACTTAAAACTCCCTCTCCTAGGGATGACCTGTGAGTCTAGCCTCACCTCCTCTTCCCTTTCTTGAGTCTCGCCACTGAACTTACACTCCAAATATTCTATCTTAGTCCTGCTCAACTTGAAACCTTCTGATTCCAGGGTCTGCCTCCATACCTTTAATTGCACGTTCACACTATCTCACGTCTCGTCAATTAATACAATATCATCTACAAATAGCATGCACCTTATGTCGCTCCCCATTTTCTAGCAAAAGCGGGTTTTGATGTATGACAATTCTTTTAAATGGGTATAAAAGGAGCAGAGTCACCACCTAATGATTTTTAAGTTGCGTTAGGGAACCTTTTTGCAAATAACTCGGTTTGACTAGTCAACGCCACTAAAGATCCGGTAAGGGCTCAAATTACATCAAAAAGAAGGTGCTAGGCACTCTTCAAGGTCCACAACTGTGGGTCCCTACCAAACTTTAAAACTATGTGAATTATGTAATTAGGCTAGGTAATCAAATAAACAAATGAAAGTATAGAATTCGAAGAGTCTTATCATAACACATTGAGAATTGGTACAAATTTTTAATAATTAAGTTTACAAATACATTGGTCTATGTTAAATGACTAAGTGTAAATAACAAGTATCTAAAGAAACTGGGGGGGGGGGGGGGGGTTTCTTAAGTTTTTTAGCCTAAAGGATGACCCCATAAATAATACTTCGCACCCTTGAGGTAGGGGTTGCTCATATTATTCAGCGAGCACAAACTATCATCTCTTGCTACCCAATTACTATGTTGAAGTTGTTTACTTAAAAACGCTCTAATTCAATTCTAAGCCGCGTCCTATGCATGCATTACTCGTCACACACTTATGGTCCAGGAGGCTTTGGACCTACTACTTTAGTAGTTCTAGACTTTCCTTAGGCTACTCAAAATGAGAATACTAGGAGCTCATTCAAAACAAATAGGACTACACATAGTCAACACCAAGGTCTCAAATTCACCTCCTCATATAGACACGCATGCAGGCTATCAATTAGGTAGACAGGTATAGCTTATACTAGCGATGTTCAGATTATTTAAACGGACATCTATAGATATGAAGGTTTGGAGTCAAGGCATGTTAAATTGTTCAAGACCTATAGGTAGGATCTCTACGTGATTCTGATTTCCAGTATTATATATAAGCAGCGTTCAGGCGAATTAAAACATTGTAAGTCCTATAGGCATGTTTTCTAAACAATTCTGGATCCGAGTATTATATGGGCAGTGCAGTAATTTCTGGACTATCGTATATGCAAATTGAATGTTGCAAGTTCTATAGACATGATATCTAATCGTTTCGCGTAAATAGGCAATGAAACAATCATAATTCTGAATTACTAATGCTGGTTTTATAGGCATGCGTCCTAGGCATGCGGCAGTGTAGTAAAAACAATGGGAATAGTCGATTAAAATATTAGAATTCTATAGACATGATATCTTGATGATCAGTGCACTAAAAGTAATTGTAGTAGTTGATAAATTGATTATTAGAAGTCATATAAGCATGGTATCTAGGTAAGTAATAATACTGCATTGTTGTGCCCTATAGACATGTTGTCTAAGAGTGTCGAATAGTAGACATGGAAACAGGTATAGCAAATACTGGACCAACATGTTTTGACAAATGAAGTGTGTGTGTGACTCCTATAGGCATGATTTCTATCAATGTATAGAAATAAAGCATGCTAAACAAGAACAACAAATAGAGCGCATAGACCCAATAGACATGCTCTCTACCCTTTTATGCAAGAATAAAGCATACCTATTTTCCCTTTTTACTAATTCCTCCATCATTTAGTCCATGAAATGCAAGTATGTGGTGATATCAATCATTTGATAAAGGAAACAGGTGATTCTTAGTCATATATGAGGACGAGACAAGACAAGGCTTAGTCTTGTATGAGATGAGGGTAGTGCTTAGCCCTATACGAAGAAAGGAGATAGTGCTTAGCCTTATGTAGTGTAGCAGAGACAGTGTTTAGTCTCATGCAAAGAGAGGAAATGTTTAGCCTTATGTAGTAATAGAGGAATTGCTTAGCCTCATGCAAGGAATGGAGATAGTGGTTAGTCTCAAAGGAAGGCAGTGTTTAGCCTTTTGCAAGGTGAGGGAAGTGCCTAGCCTTATGCAAAAAGTGGAGACAATGCTTAGTCTCATACAGGGAGAGGCAATGTTTAGCCTTATGCAATGGTAAGGGCAGTGTTTAGACCTATGCAAAGAGTGGAGACAATGCTTAATCTCACGCAATGAGAGGCAATGTTTAGCCTTATGCAATGGTGAGGGCAGTTTTTAACCCTATGCAAAGAGTGAAAAAAAGGAAATGAGACAGTGCTTAGTCTTTTGCAAGGAAAGGCAATGCTTAGCCTTATGCGATAATAGAGGCAATGCTTAGCCTCACGCAAGGAATAGATCAGTGTTTAGTCTCATGCAAAGAAAGGCAGTGCTTAGCCTTATTCAATGATGGAGGCATTGCTTAGCCTCATACAATGTAATGAGAGCAGTGCTTAGCCCTATGCAAATTATGAGGGCAATATTTAGCGCTATGTAGATGTAGAGGCAGTGTTTAGCCTCGTGCAAGTAGAAGGGTCGTGCTTGACCCTAATGTAGATAGTGAGGGTAATGCTTAGCCTTATGCAAAGAAAGGCAATGCTTAACCTTATGTAATAATGGAGGCAGTGCTTAGCCCCATACGAGTAATGAGGGCAGTGCTTAGCCCTATACAGGTGAAGGCAATGCTTAGCCTTATGCAATGAAGGAGGCATAGCTTAGCCTCATGCAAGTAATTAGAGCAGTGCTTAACCCGATGCAAATGATGAGGGATGTGCTTATCCCTATGCAAGTAATGAGGGCGGTGCTTAACCCTATGCAGAGGAAGGTAATGTTTAGCCTTATGCAGAGGAAGGCAATGTTTAGCCTTATACAGTAACGGAGGCAGAGCTTAGCCCCATGCAAATAGGGGAAGGCGGTGCTTAGCCTTATGCAAGAATGAAGGTAGAGCTTAACCTTACACAAGCATGAAGGCAGTGTTTAGCCTCATGCAAGTGGGGGAAGGCAGTGCTTAGCCTTATGCAAGAATGAAGGTAGAGCTTAAAATCATGCAAATTATGAGAACACAATGTTTAGCCTTATGCAAGCAGAGGAAGGCAGTGGTTAGGCTTATGTAAATGAGAGAGAGCAATTCTTAGCCTTATAAAGATGAAGACTTTGTGCTTCGCGGTGTATATCCCTACACAGGTGGTGGTCTTCGCGCTTTGGAACGTATGTCTGTTGAGAAATTCTTGACGATGTTGTACCTATCATTCATTTTCGAAGACATTGATGATACAATCCCAAATTTTGGGGAAACTCAAAATTTTGCCCCAGTTTCATCTTTGGAAGGAAATGAAGTTTTTGTTGTAACGAGACTGAACCCAATCTACATATCCCCTCTTATAAAGAAAATCGGGTCAAAACATAGTTCATATTTGAAACTTATAGAATGACTTAAGAGTGCAAGATTATATGATAGGATAGTTCTCTATTGAAGGTTCAGGTGAATGCTCCAAAAGAATAGCGTGTGACTAGAAGATCGAGCTTAGAAATAACAATCTTAGAAGAGTATCGCAGGTGGGTTGGTGGAGATTCGTAGAGTAACATATATCACTTCAGTCATATTGACCATTGAGTCTTCCGTTTTCGGGAAGGTCTCTATGATTTGACAGGTACATGGAGATTATGACTAACGATCTGAAACTTGTGCAAATATTTTAGAATTGAACAAATAAAGTACAGGAGCAAACACAAGGGTCTAACATACTTGGATTTCAAATCTTATGGCTTGGATGTAAAAGGCACAAGATGAGCAAGACACAAGACCATAATGTTTGAATAGGATTAGGTCACATTTGGTTGCTAAGACAGAATTGAATTACTCAGATAGAGCAAAGATTGATTGTATGAATGAGGAAAATGTCCTATCTTCTAACAAATAGAATATTATGCCAGTTTGGCAAAAGTCACTAGAATACTTGAGTATTGTATAAGTTGGGACACAATACGAAAACCCAAAAATAAAATTAGCCAGACAATAGCCCTAAGCATGATATGGACTGAGTTGAATAGAGGATAACAACAACTAAAGTGTAAAACATCTCATTTTGAATAAATTATACCCATATAAGCAAAGTTGAGATGCAACATCATTTGAAAAAGAAATTATGTCATTAACTACAACTGATTATAATGATAGATTAGTCATGTTATGTAATCAATGGATGAAATACTCCCGTTAG